AAAGGTAGCCACCAATCAATTCTTCAATACAGTTGCCTTGTCACAGTCTTCATCATGCTCTCTCTCCTAAGATATTTGATCCCATGCTCATTTACTCATTTATTCAAATCTGTGTGTGCATGTGTGCATGTGTGCATGCACGTACGGGTGCTGCTTACTGTGAATCTAGATAGGAGTCTTAGTAGTAAAAAATGGTAAACAAAACAAACTTAGCTCCTGTCTTCAAGAAGCTTCCAATCAAGTAATTAGAACATTCATGGTACAAATGAACACAAAAAATATTTCATTTCAAATTGTGATAAGTGTGATTAAAAAAAAAAAAAAGTGGAAATTAGCAAGCAGGATCTAATTTAGATTTTGAAGTGCATGCCTGAAGGACAAATAGGTGTTAGGCTAAGTAGGTGACATATGGATGAAAAATATTTTAGAGAAGAATATACCAAAGATCTGAAGGTCAGAAAGAGTTTAAAACCTTCAAAAAAGATGAAGACCAATGTGGCTAAAACATGATCAGAAAAGGAAAAGTAACAAGCAATTAGAGTGATAAGCACCAGCAAAATTATACAGGTCATGTTAAGGATTTTGGATTTCATTTTAAGTGCACAGAAAACCACAGAAGACATTTAAGCAGAGGAGTAACATTCTACTTGTGTTTTGTATAAGATCACTCTGACTGCTTAATCAGTTAAAGGTGAGCAAGAGTAGAAACACAAAGAGCAGTTAGTATGTTATTGAACACAGTCTGCATTGAAAATGGAAATGGCTTGGATTAAAATGATAATGGCAGTGGCTATGAGAGAAGCAAGTTGATTCATAACATGTTTTGGAAATAGAATCTAAAGACCTTAATGATGAATTGGGAGGGAAGAGAAAAGAGAGAGGGGGGACTCTAGATGTCAGGCTTGAGTATCTGAAGGTACCAGAGAAGATGGAGAAGAGCGAAGGAGAACAATTAGAGGAAAGGATCAAAAGTTTTGTTTTATATGTGCTACTCTTTGAAACTTTCCCTTAGCTTTCCTTCTGAGACATTACATTACATTTCTGACCTATTTTTAGTGGTTTTATTTCATTTTCTTGCCCCTAAATGTAAACATGTCCAAAGGCATTGGCTAGACATCTTCTTGTTTTGCTTCTATTTCACCCACCCCTAAATACTGTCTCTAAGCAAATGATTCCTAAATCTTTCTTTGCTGAGCCAACACTCTCCTGAGCTATGATTCACATTTTCATTTATTTTCTGAGCACTTCTCTTTACGATGATTCCTTTGTAATTCCTTTGTAATTTTGAATTCAACTCATTCAAAAATTAATTATCTTTATCCATGTCTACTCTAGTTCATTTTTAGCAGGAACAGAGTAAATATTAAATTGAACAGACTTATTTATAGTAATGTCACCACCATGTCATCTTCCCAGTCACCTAGACCCATATTCAGCATTGATATTGGATATCTTCCTCTTTGCTTTACTTGCTATGGTTTTACCAGTTGAATCTATTGTATCTTATATTTCAACTGAATTAATTGCATCTTGTGTTTCCATCCTTATATTTATCTGTTGTTGGAGTCCTAATTGTAATTCCAGCTACTATTACACTTTACCAAGATTTTTTCTATAACTTCCTAACTATCTTTCCACCTCCAATATTGCTCCCATTCAATCTATCCAGCAAATGACTTTTAATCACCTTAAATGACAATTCTAATCCTTTCACTGTGTCTAAAATCCTCAATGATTCTATCATTTTCAGAGTAATTTCCAAATCTCTTACAAAGTGTATTATATGCCTGTATAAAAAGAGTATTAAATAGCCTCCATCTGTTTTCTCCCAATTCTGAATAACTTCAACTTCTCACTATTCTGAAAATTTGTTCAGTGCTTTCACCATTCTGTCCCTTTGTTCATACCATTTGTGCCACCTTCACATTTTCCAATTGTTCCTCTCTCCAAATGGAAATAATTCTTCTTATATTCCTCAATAGGATATAAGTCTTTAATGACTGAGAACAGATCTTTTTCATTTTATATACTCTACCATGCCTAACGGGAGCTCTAATAGCATAGTGCCTAAGGCACTTGACTGCTAATCAGAAGGCTGGCGGTTCTAACCCACCAGCCACTCCTCGGAAGGAAGATAGGGCAATCTACTTCTGTAGTGATACTGCCTCGGAAATCCAAGGAGGGGTCGCTATGAGTCGGGTCTGACTTGACAGCACATGACAACAACAACAACCATGCCTAGCATAGACAAACAAAAAATCAGTCACCAATGAGTTCATTCCACTTCATGGTAAGTAAGCCATGTGTGTCAGAGTAGAACTTTGCTCCACAGGATTTTCCATGGTTAATTTTTCAGAAGTAGATCACCAGGCCTTTCTTCTGAGGCACTTGAGTGTAGATTCAAACCACCAACCTTAAGCACCAAGCCTAGTGCTTAACTGTTTGCACCACACAGATACTCTATACCTGTTGTTGTTATTGTTGTTATTATGCTGTCAAGTTGGACATGACTCATAGCGACCCCTCCTTGGGTTTCCAAGGTAGTATCACTACAGAAGTAGATTGCCCAATCTTCCTTCTGAGGAGTGGCTGGTGGGTTTGAACCGCCAGCCGTCTGGTTAGTAGTCAAGTGCCTTAGGCACTACGCTACCAGAGCTCCTAGCATGTTGTTACTGCGTGATGCCATTAAGTGGATTCCGACTCATAGTGACCCTGTGTAACAGACAAAATACTCCATAGGTTTTTTTCAGGCTATAATCTTTATGAAAGCAGATTTCTAAGACTTTCTCCAATAGAGAAAGGTTCAAAGTGTCTACCATTCCATTAGCTGCCAAGCACTTAACCTTTCACACCACCAGTGCTCGACAGTACTTTGGATATAGCAGAAACAGAGTAAATGTTAAACTGAATTGACGTATTAGCTTTCTTTCTGATGAGTCTGTAATATGCCCACTAATCTAGATAACTGCAATTATATGACACATATGATCTTAAAGTCAGATAATATGTGAAATTTGTATTTTTATATGTGGTATTTACAGAATCACAATCTCTACTTCAATATGAAATGGCCTTCATGGAGCTTAATCTAAAATAGTAATAAAATAAATAGCAAATTTCTTAAATTTTTGAACTGTTATTCAAGGTTCCTCATTTTTTTTTACACCTTTCATTTCTTGGCACCCCAGTAAAGAGCAGACTTTATTGATACATTTAAATGCTGAGATATAATCACAAAATTTACCTACCAGTTTCTCTATCAACCAAAACAAACACTAAGCTATTTAAACACGAGATTGATTTTTCTGAATTGAAAGCTTTGCCTTATCTAAAATTTTATGCAAGTTAGCAAAATATGACTATCTCTAAATTTCAAATAAATTCCATCAAGCTGAAGTTTGCCTCTGCTCTAACAATGGGATTAAGTCCAGTAATATGAATGATAAATTCAGAAATAAAATTGTTACAGTAGATATAAACTCTGTAACAAAATTCCTACTCACTTTCAAAATTCCCTAGACAAAAGAGAAGAGCTAGACCACTATCTGAACAATATCTTCCATTTATACTCTTCATCTACTTAATTTACCCTGTTAAACACTTTTTTTCCTAAACAAAAGTTTCTTATCTTTAAGTTCTCTAATAGTTGCTGTCCTTTCTCTGAAAAGATTAATAACAGAAAATCTAAGGACTGATAATGCTTATATTATTTCAAAACCATTTTTATAATAAATTAAAATCATATGAAGACATAACTTTATTTAAAATTTTCTCCAAATTGTTATTAATTCATATGTACCTAAAAAATCTTTAGAATAATATACCTCATCTGGAGATAAAAGTTTAAAACTATTGCTCTATTATCAGTAATAATTGCTACTAGTTGCTACTAGGAGATTCGGTAGCATAGTGCCTAAGGCACCTGACTGCTAAACAGAAGGTTGGAAGTTCAAACCCACCAACCAGCCACTCCTCAGAAGGAAGGTTGGGCAATCTACTTCCATAGTGATACTGCCTCAGAAACCCAAGGAGAGGTTGCTATGAGTTGGGCCCAATTCAACAACACATAACAACAACAAGAACAGTTGCTACTAAGAACATTTATACACTATTAAATACTACACTATTTACACTATACAACAGTACACTATTTTATTGAAATCTCAAAACTACCTTATAAAATAATTAATTATAATAATTAATATATCATATTAATTAATACACATAATAAGTAACTCCATCTTAAAGCTAAGGAAAATAATAATGAACTTAAATACTTGGCCGATGTTATATATTTAATAAGTGTGGAAATAGTTAACACATACTTTTCTGTGGCCAAAACTAAAGGATGGGATGGATGTCTTTACCAGGGCATCAGATGAGTTCTTTCTGGTTCAGACATGGCTAACAAAACTGGAACAGATCCAAATTTGTAAAATGTGGGGAACAGGAATAGTAACTAGAACAGGAAAAATAACAGGTTGTCACCCTTCTGGAAACTTAAAATCCCTCGTAGAAATCAAGGACAGTGTGTTGTTACATAGCAGTCAAATCTCTTGACAAGTAGAGTTGGAAATAGTGGTGCCTCCCTCAATGATGGTGGCCAACCGTGCTGCTTTGAATGTGTGTTGCCCTCCACAGTCCTGGCAGTCTCCCACATCAGGCTCCTGAAAGGGCTCACGTACACCTTTTCCAATTCTCCCATTTCAGAGCTTTGATTTTTAATTTTTCCCATTCTGATTATCATTCCACTTCACCCAAATTTAAGAAATTGGAGTCTATTATGATTTTACTTTGTCAGCCATGACTGAATTGGTTCAAACTGGTTTGAAGCCCTGGTCTAAGCAACACAGTTAATTGCTGTCTGTATATCCCAAGGGCAAAAAATTATAATTATAATATAAATTATAATAAAAAAACATCCTCTAGCATAAATGTGTAAGAAACATATGGCCTAATACACTGTTTTCAAGCATTTCTTTTACATTCTTTCCCTTCAGTTGCTGGAAATCTTGCTGCTGCATTGTCTGTGATGGTAGCTGGATTCTTTGAAACATACAGAAAAGACTTCCCTCCAATGGAGCAAACTCTTTCAGGCAAAGTTCTCATCGTTTCCTCTATGCCCTGTTTCCACCTGGTTCTCCAGTACCTTTTACTTGGTGTGGCTGAAACACTGGTAAATCCAGCCTGTAAGTAATAAGTTTCAAAACTAATGTAAGAATATATTGAACTTTAGCACAGAACATCTTAACAAGAACAATTAAAGTGATAGCCAATCTACACACCACTGGAGAGTTCCCACAATAATGCAAAATAAACCTATTCGTTATCTCATTTTAAAAATGGTTAACTTCTCTTGATTACTCTGCTGCATACAGAACAATTATTAATTCTACTTCAATTGAGCTGGAATAAAATATTTACTAACTTGGTTAAAGGCAGCAACCATTTGGCCAGATGTATAACAGGAATTAAAAACTGACAAACAACAACAACAACACTCTGCTAAAACTTAGAAGACAACTCCAGCATATTCTAGTGAAAACTCTCTTCTTCTCTCCTCCTGTCTGTCAACCTATCTCCTGCTCTCATAAACTCATATATAAACTCCATTCAATAACTGTATTTAATGTGCTTTAAGAATATATAAATACACAAATGAAACACAAATTTGAGTCAACTTTCTAGATAGGTCAAATATGAAATCGAAACAATTAATTGAAAACATCAAATTGATTAACAACATTTGTGTAGTTATAGTCATATATATGTATCAGACTTTTTTATAATTTTAAATGATTTAATTCCATTTATTTTACATGAATAAAATCTAAGATTCTATGATATGGATATCACTGTTTGATGCTGCACAGGACACAAAAGGAGTACAAAAAAAGCCACTATACAAATGTTTGTAATCTTTCCTGATGTTATTTTCAGAAAATTGTTAGAAGTAGAAAGTCAAAACTTTTCAGAAGTCAGGGAAATGAGTGAATATAGTGGGAAAAATCTCAGTCAACTTACCTAGAGTTCAAGGTGTAAGAACTAGAGATACCAAGAGCCATTAACTGTTACAACGCTGATTTTGGAATATAAATCACCTAGTCCACCCTCCTTGTTTTATCTATAAGGAAACTGAAGTTCAACTAAGTCAATTAATTTAAAGGTCATAGACTTTGGTTTCAGTTGTAGCTTTGTAAACACTAACTGTGTAAACTTGCGTAGTCATTTGACCTCCAAGCTTTACCTTGCTCATCTTTAACATAGAAATAATTTTCCTTCTTCCTTATATCACTGTGTTAATATAAGAGCCTATGGATTTGGAAGGCTATTCCTTGAGAATCAAATGAAATAATACATGAAAGAGTGTTTTGAACTGAAAAATTAAATATTACTCTCTTGGAAGACAGTACAGTGTAAAGGTTAAATCAATGGGCTTAAGTTCAGACTTGAGTTCAAACCTTTGCAACTAGCTGTATGATCTTGGGAAAATTATTCTGTATTTCTCAAACTTTCTCTTTGTCTATAAAATGAGAAAGAATTGTTGTAAGGACTAAATGAAATGTTTTATATAAAGCAACATGCTTATGCCTGGTATATAGAACTCCCTGCCATCAAGTCGATTCCAACTCATAGCAACTTATAGGACAGAGTAGAAGTGTCCGATAGTGTTTCCTAGGCTATATTCTTTAGAGAAGTAGACTGCCTCATCTTCCTTCCATGGAGCAGCTGGGGGGGGGGGCGCGTTTCAAACCACCAACCTTTTGGTTATCAACCAAATGCTTTAACAACTGCACCACCAGAGCTTCTGGTGTATAGAAAGTGCATGATAATTTGCAGTGATAATGTATGTTGTTATTAACTTTCACATGGGTATGTGAAAGAATGTGATGATAATAACTGACCATGGAACTTAACATGGGTAAAAAGACTACTGGAGACACATAGGAGATAACAGGAAAAAAAAAAAAAAAAAAAACAGCCATCAAGTCAATTATGACTCAGAGCCACCCCCTTTGGGTTTCCAAGGCGATAAATTTGTATGGGAGTAGATTGCCCCATCCTTCCACAGAGCAGCTGGTGGATTTGAACCAGCAACCTTCTGGTTAGCAGTCAAATGCCTTAGGCACTGTGCCAGCAGAGCTCCTTACATAGGAGGTAAGGCATGTAAAAAATTATGAAAGGAATAATGGATTTGAGCTCTTGGAGGAGTACCAGTATTTTGATGACTGAGCAGTAGAGAGTTAACTGGAAAGATAGACAGTGGTTGTCAGAGATGAATGCACAAAGTTAAGATTTTAGAGTTGTAACAATTATTGATCTAGGGCAGGGGTTGGCAGACATTTTCAGTAGAGGGCTAGCTAGTAAATAGTTTAGGCTTTACATCCAGATAGTCTCTGTCATAACTACTGAATTCTGCCATTGTGGTGCAAAAGCAGTCATGAACAATATATAGTGAAAGGGTACAACTGTGTTCCAATAGTACTTTATTTATGAAAATGAGTTGCAGACTAGATGTTACCTGGCTATAGTTGGTCAACTCCTGGTCCATTTTACAAAGCCTAGGGTATGACCGTGGGCATGAGTGACTAAGGTAGAGTAGAGGACAAAAACTCTGGATAGGAGGTGAAGGAACTGAGAAATCAAGATTTGGAAAGATGGAAGTTTGGAAGGACAATTTATATGCATGTTAAAATTGCCAAAGATTAAGGCAGGAGTGGTATTAGAGAGCATGACAATGAGACAAGAGCCAACAACTTTGAGAAATAGATAAAAATGTCACAGAGGTTGGCAGATGACAGTACAAAAGAGAAGTCGTGGGTGAGATTCAAAGTTGGAGCTTTTTAGGGATAAGGAAGAAATAATGGTCTGAAAGTGGCAGTAAGAGAAAAATTCATTTTTGAGAATTGCAGTACTTGTTCTCCACATGTTCACAGCAACTTCTCACCAAGCACAGTAAACATATTTTACTGTTTAAGAACAATTGGAGTAAAAGTAATTTCCAGCAATGAGTCCCCAGTACCAGGTGCCTTAGAAAATCCTAGATTTTGTAGATTCCACATACGCTGTGATGTAGCATCTTTACAAACACTAACCAGCCTCTACCTGGAGACACATTTTAGCTCTTATTGGCAGGAAGACCAGCTTTCCCATACACTCTGAATATTTTTTACTGTCTCTTCAAAGTAAAGTGAGAATTTTAGAATAGTGACAGACATGTTGATAATATCTATACTATAATGGACCCAAGAAAGTATCTTGGAACCTAAAAAATCAAGCTGATGATCACTAAAGTTGAAAAAGATTAGAATTTGCAAGGAGATGCCTGAAAATGGAGATCCGAGGACTTGAAATGCTAAGTTCTATAAAAGGGAACTGGAGACTTTCAAAACAACTAAAATGACACCAAAGAGAGATTAACCAGCAGGCAGAGAGCTGGCAAAGTGTGTTCATGAATTATATACTGCACCAGAAGTTCTAGCAAGAGAAAAGCCTAGGATTAATAATTAACTAGCATAGTGATAATGGGCTTGTACATTCTGCTTTTTCTCTGAAAGAAATAGGCCTACTTAGTCTTTCTGTTCATTGTTTGTCTCCTCATATTTATAAAGAGGAAAGTTCATAAGCTAAGTTCCTTCTTATAACTATGAATCATCTCTTTCCAAAACCTATTTGGCATTTACCTTGTACTCTCGTTTGCACCTTCCTTAAAAAACTAGAAGGCTTGGCCTCTCACTCTTGCCAGTGATTTGACCACCACAGGCTAGGAGAGCAGTGGTGTTCACTGCACCTTGCTGCCAAATTTTGGAAGTCATTCCCTATGGTATTTTACTTATCACCACCATTATCATCATCTCCAAGCAGTATTTGTGGTATTAAGTACCTAACTGTCACTGTGCTTAGTAATGTAAAAATCTCTGTTCTGAGAGTTTTAAAGCCAGCAAAGATATACTGATACCATTTCCACACTCAGCTTCACTATTCAATACCTTTCCTGGAGCACAAATATGTTGTTGTTGTTGTTATGTGCTGTCGAGTCAGCCCCAACTCTTAGTGACCTTGGGTTTCCGAGGCAGTATCATTATGGAAGTAGATTGCCCATCCTTCCTTCCGAGGAGTGGCTGGTGGGTTTGAACCGCCAGCTTTCTGGTTAGCAGTCAAGTGCCTTAGGCACTATGACACCAGAACTCCCAAGCACAAATACAGACTTCCATAAACGTTTATTGGACAAACAAATAAAAACACGTGGAGAACACATGTAAAGCCAAAATTTTAGGTCAATGCAGGAAGGCACATGAAGACATTTACACTATGTGTGTGAGGCATTAGTAATTCAGTGAAAGAATTCTTGCCTTCCATGCAGAAGATCTGGTTTTGATTCTCAGCCAGTGTACCTCAAGTGTGGCCACCACTCATCTGTCTGTGAAGCCTTGCATGTTGCTATGATTTTGAACAGCTTTCAACAGAGCTTCCAGACTTAAATAGACCAGGAAACAAGGTTTGGTGATTTATTTCTGAAAATCAGCCAGTGAATACCTTATGAATCGCAATGGTTCTATCCCTCCACTATCATGGAGATGGCTCAGAACCAGGCAGTGTGCCTTTCATTCTGTTGTTCATGGGGTCTCCATAAGCTTGGGGCAGACTCAATGATAGCTAATAACAACAGCAACATAATGTATTAGTAAGCTCATTTAAAAGTAATGAGCAAATACAGAATTTCACTTGGGTGAGGAACAAGGAGATAGATCTGTCTCTTCTACTAGAGAAAGAAATGAATGGTTTAGTGTCTACAATACAATCAGCTCCCTATTATTCCTTCTCTTTTAAAAATGTACTTTAATATTTATTTGTGAGGTCTCATTATAGAAAATTTGGAAAGTATACAGGAGTAAGAAGAAAAAAATAAAATCCAATAATTAGACCACACCAAGCAAAAACTGTTAAAGTAATTTAATGGATTTTGTTACAATTTTTCTGCCAGGCCAATTTTTGAACTTTTGTTATAAAGATATTAAACATATCTTTGTAACAAAAGAGAGGGTTAGTATAATGAACTCACATGTATACATATTCCAGTTTCAAAAATTTTCTTTTTTTTTATTGTTGTTATTTTTAATTTATTGTGATTTGGGTGAAGATTTACAGAGCACATTCACTTCCCATACAGCAATTCACATATACTTTG